TGTAAACCCAAAGCTGTCACTTCCTTTACAGAGTCAATCCATCTCATGTTCGGTCTTCCTCTATCCCTGCTGCATTTAATTTTTCCTAGCAGTACTGTCTTCTCTCAGTTTTGTTTTCTTGTGATGTGCCCAGAGTTACAACAATCTCAGTTTTATCATTTTTGCTTCTAGAATGTCCTCGCTGATTAGGGGTTCCAGAGGGACCCTCACAATCAGGGCGTGGCTTTGCAGACTTGCTCGGACAGCCATGCGACATCGTAGGCGGTCTGCGCGAACAGCCGAGGGGCGTGGGCAGTGGAGGGCTTTTAAGGACAGCAGCCCACCCGCCAGCCCTAACTTCTAGTGCAAGACTAGCTGGTCACCCATTGGGGGCCAGGTAGGAATTTTTGACTCATCTCCTGATTGGCTAGTGGAGATGGGGATTTTTCGCCTATCCTGCACTGGAGCAGGAGCAAAGGCCCAAGTAGAGGTGGAAGTATAGATAGGAATTTTTGACCCATCTCCTGATTGACTAGTGCAGATGGGGATTTTTCGCCTCTCCTGCACTGGAGCAGGAGCGAAGGCCCAAGTAGAGGTGGAAGTATGATCCGGTCACACGGGGCGGGTAGTGCAGATTCAAAAGGTATGGTATCTTGGATTATATGGTAAAGGCACCAAAATCGAAGCGCATCTGAACTGACAGAGCTGCTGATCAGGCGATCGCAGTTCTGGGAGGAAAGATGCACTGAGAATGCACCCAGACCCACGGAAGGCACAGAGAGAGAGGAAAGGGGGTCCGCGGGAAAATTGGAGGCTGCGTTATCCCTTGGTAATAAAAGGGGATTAACTGAGGCCTGACCCCAGCCCTTTGGCTGGTCAAGGATCAACCTAGAATCCAAGAGGGAATTTGAATCCACAGTACAGCAGGACCTCCCCTTTTTGCCAAAGAATTGGCAAGGTTTGTTCAAATGGAAATGGATTCCAATAAAGTGTGGCCCATGTATAACCCATTCACCTGGTCTCGTGTGGTTATTCGGGATAAGTGGGCAAAGAGCTCGGGCTTGATTTGGTCTAGGATCCAGTTGTTCATCTTTCTAGTGATCTGCAAAGCTCCCTTCTAGCATTATATTTCAAACAAACTGATTTTTTTTCCCTGTTGGCTTTTTTCACCCATCAGTTTACACATCTGTACATAGTAATCAGGAATACAATAATGTGGATGATCTTAGCCTTGATTTCCAGTGATACAGCCTCACACATGATGATCTCTTCTAGTTCCTTCATAGATGTTCTTCCAAGACTCAGTCTTCTTCTGGTTTCTTGACTACAGTCTCCAGTTGAAATGATCATTCCCACTGTGGTTTAAACTGATTTGTAGGGTCACCCTACAACTGACCTGAGCATCACTGAGAGTTTCTTGAGCTACTCTGTTATCTTCTCTTCAGTAACATACAAATATCCTTTTCCTCATTTTGTTTGGGCAATTGTCCCAAAAACCCAAGCACATTTCTGTTAATAACCCTGACAGCTATGAAACGCATTACGGCTCAGTCTCAGAAAACAACTGAATTTCAAAACAACAAATTAACAGAGCCCTCCTAGGCACTCAGAAAAAATGATCCACTTTATTCTGTGATAAACCTGAACAGGCATGCACCTATTTTTTTTTAAATAGAAAAGCAACGATAATCAATTAACCAAATATTTTCATTTATCATGCTATTTTATTAGATTAGAAAAACAGACTTGAATAATTGGCCATTATTGTCCCCAGCCTGCACAGAGGCTCCCAGTCTTTAGGAAGCTTCAGGAAAAGGAGATTACAGGGGCTTCCATAATGGCAGTTTCCCACTATCTTGTCTCCCAGTCAACCGCTTTGCCCAGTGCATGAGTCTGGCTGTCAGGTAACTTGTCCACCGAGTGCCAATATATATTTCTCCACAGTAAATCGAAACACAACAAGATTAAAAAGAACATTTTTTTTCCAATCCACCCGGCAACTGAGTTTGTTGTATACCAAACTGCAGCAGGGCTGGCAAGAGGAATGAAGGTGGTGGCACGTATGCTTTAAGAGATGACTGATCAAATAGCTCGGTCTGTTCCACAGAACTTTAAAACAGCGACAAGAACAGAGAATGAAGATCTAAAACAGGACCTTCTGGGAACATGAAGAAGTGCTATCTGACTAGAGCTTGCATGGCGAAATGAGAGCTTTGACTTCCTTTTTTTATTTTTAAGTTGAACGACTGAACTGACTTCGTGGCTTGGGATGGATTTGGCAATTCAGTTTCATACAGAGATGTAGGACTTAGTCCCTCCCCGGTGTAATTCCATCAAACTCAAAGTGATGAAATCTTTTGCATACATTTGATGACAAGTTCACAGAAATGTTTTAAATAGACTTCAGTGGAGTTACATTGGGGAAGAATTTGATCCTTTCTGGGATTTTTCTCCTTTCATTTTAAATGTCTTGTAGTTGTATTCGTAATTTGAGGCTATTCTTTAGAAATAAATGTGCCATATGTATATGAACCTCAAAACTGGGACATGTCATAGAACAGAACAAAATACAGAACCCCTTAACTCAAGCATACGAAAGGAAAGAGTAGCAAAAAGCAAGAACTTGTAACACTGTTTCATAGAACTCGGCATAGTAAAGTAAATGTATTTTTAAAAATAGTTGAAAGCAGATAAAAATCCAATATGTGGTTATAAATGCCTAAAAGAACAAATGTCCCAGTGTATCTGTGACTACTCATTTACAAAGCTGATTTACTCATTTACACCTCTTTTACTGAAACATTTAAGGTAAGTATGGTCTGATTTTGTTGTGACGGGTGGCCATGTGGTAATGATGATATGACTTCAACAAGTTAAGTCAGTTAAACTGACTCTTCAGTTAAAGAGAGTGGAGAATTCTACCTGTCATATGCCAGCCACTGTGACCCATGAAAAGCAAGCACACTCTCTCCCCCTATAAACATTTTGAGAATTTGTGGGTCTGTTGGGATCCAATCAAAGTGATTTTTCTTTATGTGAACCAGTGCTTCTGCAGGAGCTACCTACATGACAAACTTGGATTGTGAGACCTCCATTCAATTTGCAATTGTGCAAATCAGAACACTTCTGTGAATAGCCCGCACATGAAAGTTGTAGTTCTCAGAAACCTTCAGACTCAAGCCATAAACCTGGCAGCCTCCTACATTTGTGAAACACTGCCAGTTAGTCAGAATCAGGAGAAAAGACTATTTTCATGGTTGGCAAAATGGAGCCAAAGCCACATTTATTCAACTAAAGATATTATCAGTAAAGGATGCAAATAAAATGTTCTTCTATCTTGTTGTTGCCTTGCAACATCCTCATGGTTCCATGTAGTGGTTATTGGTTTGACTGGCCATCCAGGTTTCTTATATATATATAAACAGAAACCTGGATATATATATTTGGGGTCTAATGCTTTTCCGGATCTCACTATTTATGCCTTGTGAGTTGAGATGGGTAGCTGTGATTTTGTTTCTAAATGTTGTTAGCTGCCCAGACTAGTGCCTCAGAGTAGTGCCTCAGCACTAGATGAGCGAGGTATAAATGTAATGAATAAAATAAATAATAATAAATAAATTGTTCTTCTTCTACCAGAGGTTACATGTCACCCTTGCTATTTTGACTTCAGATGTGGCAGCTCTAAACACTGACATTGTGTTGCATCCAGACCAGTTTCCAGAGTCCTTCTTTAATGCCTGAAGTATTCTAGCTTTCTGCATTTTATGAGTTCTATGATTTCTTGATCTTTATTCACTCATATCAGTCCTTCACTGGTCAACTCTCAGTCTGACCATCCTGCACTATAGCTACATTTCACACTTTTTTCCTTCCTTTTTTGAATAATCATCTGTCTTGAAAAGTCCACAATCCCATGCCATACAGCACAACTAAGAATATCTGTACATTCTCAAAGTCAGTTTTAAGATTGTGTTGAGTAACTTTTTTCCTCTAAAGGAAGTTGCTCCAGGTTGTCTCTACTCTGTATGTGTGTGTATGCTATTCTGTACTTGTAAAACATACCTGCTTAGCACCTATTTTCACTGTGTGGATGCTATGGAGGGTCTAAGAATCAGTACTCAGGTGTACAACTCTGACCATTACTACAGCCAACAGGATGGCAATCTGTGAATCAGAAGGTTTGGTTGCAGTCATGTATCGCTAGCACGATCCATAGAAAACTTATTGGCTGCTGCGTGAAAAGAATGTTGGGGTGGATAGACCTTCAGTCTGATTCAGCAAGCCTTTTCTTACGCTTTAAGGAAAGAACTGAAAAACTGAAAGCTGTTATGTCTGTATACAATTCATTTCTTAGCCAAATATACCCCCTTTTAAGGCCGTACTGCCATGTACACTTTTCAAACCCTCTCTTGTATGACTTTTGAATTGGGCAGCTGATGTACATTCACCTCATAAATTGCATTAGGGCCTTTGGGATTTGTTTGCTTACTACCTGAATCTACTGAAGAATATTAGATCTATTTTGATGGTCTTACACCATTATTTTGATAGTATTGCATAGTCCAATGATAAATGGGACAATTAAACAGTTTTGACTTGCAATACTTTGGCCATTCTTCCTCACTCTCAGGACATAATTTCCCAAGTGGCTTTCCTTTATTCTTCTCCTACATTTCTTAATGCTTCTCTCTTTTTCACCTGATACCGAAATTTCATTTCTGTCTTTTTAAAAATACTCAGTTCTGCTGTACATTCAGTATCATCTTCTAATTCCCGAGTGCATTTGTTTTTCTTTCCTGGTTTTATCATTTTGCTTTCTTTATGTTATGCTTCTTCCTGTTCTTCTTCTCTCTTTAAACTCGTTTTCTGGCTGCTTGCAATGTCTCTGCACATGTCTCTTCTGCAACATGCCGCTCATCATTCTATGCCACTAATGTACCACAGCTTCTAAAATCCATTGTATTGTCATTTCAGACAGATAAGTACTAAACAAAACATTACAGGGCAAAGGAATCACTTACCCTGATTGACAACAAATCGTAACTTCTGTATTGTTGCCAGATTGCCGCTGACTCTGTATATTCCATCAACATCCAGACCTGCAAAAGGAAAACATACTTCATATTGGCTTCTGTGAGTATTATACTTAAGATGTCTGTCAAGAAAATATAAATGTCCTAAGAAATACGGCAAAATATATACTTTAGTGAACTTTGTGGTGATAATTCACTGGAGAGAACAGACTCACATGATATTGCCTTTTTGTTTTAGTTTTCTTTGAAGACGAGGCAAATATCATTGCTTCTAAATCAGTAATTGCTCAAATTTATGGGGATTACTGAGACATACAGTACACACCACTCATGCCTATAAACAGTTTCCATTGAACAGAAATGATCACGTCCCACACTTCTACTGAATAGTTAAGATGGAGAATCTCTATGAGCAAATTCCAGTGAGCTTGGAATTCCACGAGACAACTATTCTGTGTGAAGTATTATTTGTTATTTGAATGGAAAAGTCTAAGGGTTTTGTAGCATGACTAGTAACGGAGCAAAGCAATAAACAGACTCTGTCATTCACCCAAGTCAAGATGCTTAGTACCTAAAGTTAACCACTTTGTTTTTTCACATGACCCAAAACCTGGATGAGGATGAACAGGTGCTATGATAGCCATCTTCAAACATCTGAAGGGCTGTGATGTGGAAGACAGGACCACCTTATTTTCTGCTGCTCCAGAGGTAGAACCTATGGATTCAGACTATGAAGACATATCAATTAAATGCTTCCTTACACTAGAAGCTGGATTATATGGGAAGGTGGTAGATTCCACTTCACCGAAAGTTTCTAAACAGAGGTTGGATGACCATCTGTCAGAGAGTTTATCTGAATTCTGTGCTTTGACAGAGAGTTGAACTAGATTATGTTTGGTGTCCATTCCGTTGAGCTATCCAGCAGTTCTACATTTCTATGATTCTAAAGGGCACAAAATTCCATAATCACATATCTTCTCTCCTTTGCTGACTATAAAAATACAACAACAATGACAACAACGATGACGACGACGACAACAACAACAACAACAAATAAATAAATAAATAAATAAATAAATAAATAATGGAGAAGTTTGTTTCCTTTCATAACACTCCAAAACTGTTGCCTGAGTCAGCCATTTTGCTATGTTGAATGGTAGGGCTGGCCCAGCTATGCACAGATAATACCTCAAATTGTTCAAAATATAGTTACAAGGTTGCTGGCTGGATAGCTCAGTATGTTAGGTATCTGGCTGTGGAACCAGAGGTTGAGACTTCAATTCCCCCCCCGCACAAACACACAGACACTGTGCATCCCAGAAGAGCCAGCGGTGCAGCTTTGGACAAGCTGTACAGTCCCAGGGCACCCACAGAGGAAAGGAATGGTAAATCACTTCTAAAAATACTGGTATTCTACCAAGAAAAGGGTCACCATAAATCAGAACTGACTTGACAGCACAGGATTGTTGGTTATTAAGAGACTGGGAGTAAACAGTGGGGAATCATATGGCTCCTTCCTGCAGCAGACTGTCCAGAGTAAATTCCCCATTTCTGTTTCAACCATGTTGAAGAGGTACCTCAGCACTGACTAAACCTATGTATAATGCTACTCAGGCGCCTTTTTAATCAGAGCTTGTCAATCAAATTTTCTTTTGGATTGAAAAGTAAGCTAAGTGGGAATGTCTTTAAGATTAACCATTATTAAGTTCAGCACCTTATAAATGTACACTTTCTCTGCAATTAAGACATGAGGAGTAATTTGCTATGCAGAAGACAGAGCACATCAAACATCTGCAGTACATATGCCTGCACCACAGATTTACTGAAGACTAATGTAACTTATTTGACAGGATCTGTTCCACACTATGCAGTTAAATGAAGGCATTTTAAATACATCAGGTTTTAGTGATAATGGAAATCTATGATTGGTAATTCTTAAAAAGTGTTTGGTATTGCTAAGAAAGTGAATATGTCAAACTATAGTAATCTGAAAGATTTTTTTTCCATTTGGACATTACAAAATAGGGCAGTCTGAGGGAAAAAAAGTTTGAGAGCACTATCCCAATTACTGTGCATACATGCCTGAGCCTTTCTGTTCTAAATTCTTTGAAAGCCAAGCCAAGCCAAACCAATATAAATTGGTGGATTTGGACATCCTTTTTATGACCACATTATCCCAGCTGGATTAGAAACTACTTATTTTGGAAATAGATTTCGGCCGTGTGTGTGTGTGTGAGAAAGAGAGAGGGAGGGAGGGAGAGAGTTTGAGTAAGAGAGAGAGAGCGCAAGAGAGCATACTTTTTAAAGACATTCCATCTTTAACGTTCTTCTGCTCTAAGCTTCTGAACCATTTTCAAAGAAAACAACTTCGACTTCTAAGAGCACCTTTATCAGGAATGAAAACACCCCTCTTCAACAATCAGTATTTTTTCATGGTAGGCTTCAAATAGTGAGGGAAGGAGGGAGATAAAACAAAAATCTTTTCAAAGTTTCTTATTTGGGGATGGCACTCACTTTTAGAGGTAAAGAACATTCTGGAATAACAAGCAATCACTGCCAGAAAATCTGACTCCATTTAGTATATACCGACCTTCTAATGTTTCAAAATAGTATTTATCATTGGGACGGATCACTGGCTTTCCCCTAGAGTATATCAATGTTTTCCCCTCCCCTTTTTTGTCTGAAAGATCATAGAAGAGGATGGACATAGAACCAGAAATCATAATCCAAACAGTGTTCAAAATTTCAGGCAAGGAATAATACAGCTGTTGCAACTCATTCCCACCATAAATCTTATAAGCCTTCCAGCTTATATCTAGGACATGAATAATAATAATAATAATAAAAACCTTTTCAGAAGATGAGCCATATATAGAAATACCTTTATTAAATAATAGTGAGCTTGGGTCATGCTTTTTAAATTTTTATTTACCATACCCTCTGCTGTAGGATGCTTCAGAAAGCTACGTGTCTCACCTAAGACAAGAAGCTGATATTTCAGTCACTACCAGCCTTGCATTTCCAGAGATGGGGATCCCACCACCTTTTCTTCATCCCAACAGATACCAAACACCAACCAGGAACTCATAGATCTGGGCCTTTTTCCTTATTCATATCAAAGTGTTGCACAATTCAAAATCATGGACACACATGAAATATAGACAAAATTAGAAATCAAATAAAATATAGAGACGATCAGACTACTATGATCAGCTGGGTGGAAATCATGGGCTCCCAGTGGTCTACAGACCAGAGTAAGAACTTCTGTCTTGAATGGGGCATGTATATTCTGCAGAGAATTCGAGGTTGTATTCTAAAGAACACATGCTCTGTTCAAACGAAGCATTATAAGGATGCAGCATAGAAGACTATGGACCTTTACCACATCAGCACAGTGCAGGAGATAATTTATGGTTGAATCTGAAAAATCTGGATGCAAGAGAAACTGAAACTGACTGGATTTTCCATCTGGGCACCTCCTCCCTTTTGCAGACTAGCCATTCTCTGGTCCAGCAGTTCTTGAATACCAGCTGACAGTCCTCCCTGAGTAAAGGGCTAAATCCTCAGCATAGATTTAAATCCCCATGTTTCCAACCATATTAGTGCTGCATTAGGGATTAAATGCCTCCCCCCTTCCTCAGATATGTCCCCTGTCTTTATTATTGGCATTAGGCATCCTTCAGTCTCGAAAGACTATGGTAAAGTGCTCTGTATGGAGGACTTGGAACAGTGTCTAATGTGGCTGAGAAGGCCAATTCAAGAGTGACATTCCCTTCCGCACTGAAGACAAATCCAATCTGTCCCCTGTCCAGCTCCCTGATTTTGCTGCTTTTGTGACTTCCTCTTTGCCTCGGCCTGCTGGAGAAGGGTCTCTTCAAATTGAGAGAGGCCATGATGCACCGCCTGCCTCCAGGCTGAATGCTCAGATGTCAGGGTCAGTTACAGCATGACCCTCCATGCTGGGATACTGGTGCAAATCCTTGCTTCTCTAGTCTTTTCAGGCAAAAATGAAGACATGCAACAATCTTCTTGCCCATGAGGATGGTGAGACATTTCGTGCTACATTGGACAAAGTTCTCACATTATCGAGATATTTTGCGCAAATTATACAAACCATAGTGGAGAAACATTTGTCTTGGTCTCACCCTGGAGGTAGGAATTCTTGTGGTATTTGAAGAATCCTAGACAGACTGTCTTGATGTGTTGAGACAGCCTGTCTTAAACATAAATGAGGCACTGGATGTTCCTTCACATCCTAAATTCCGTGCTTCTAATGTTTCAAATTCTATAGTTAGATGCATACACATTTCACAGGCATTCAGGAATGAAGAGGAGTGCTAGAGTGATGTAGAGAAGGAAGACTAAGATATAGAAACCTTGTTTCAAATGTTGCTGCCAACATTAATTTATCATTGCTACTCAATGCTGCAGCTTGGATAGAACAGTTTTCCACCTCTGATAATTATGCATGTGAAGCATACTGAACAGTTCAGTTTAATATGTTCAAAATACTATTAGGAAAATGCATATATGACTTATAACGAGGACAGAGTTGTCTCCTCCTGAAATTTAGGGATGAGGCACACTCTGCACATGATCCATGAAATACATGGAGAAATTGAAACAATTTAGGTTAGGCTACGGTCACTTGCCCCTTCACAGATTGCTGCCTTGTCGTGGCAAAGGGGCTTGAGTAATTCAGAGAAGCGATGGGCTATGCCGTGCAGGGACACCCAAGATGGACAGGTCATAGTGGAGAGTTCTGACTAAATGCGATCCACCTGGAGTAGGAAATGGCAATGCCACTCCAGTATCTTTGCCAAGAATTACCCATGATCAGAAACAAAAGGCTAAAAGAAATGACGCTGGAAGATGGGCGCCTCAGGTCGAAAGGCGTCCAACATGCTACTGAGGAAGAGCGGAGGACAAGTACAAGTAACTCCAGAGCTGATGAAGTGGTTGGGCCAAAGCCGAAAGGACGCTCAGCTGAGGACGTGCCTCGAAATGAAAGGAAAGTCTGATGCTGCAAAGAAAAATACTGCATAGGAACCTGGAAAGTAAGATCT